TATTGTTAATTCTCGAGACTAGGTCTTCCGTGTGAGAGATTGTGACTTCATTTTTTTTCCTGCAAGGTTCTGCAATCTGAAGGGAAATGTAACAATCGAAAGTTTCGGTGATCAACTCCTCGCTTACTTTGTCACTGGTGGCTTGACAAACATCCTTCCAAACGTGACGTGAGTATATGTTCTCTCGTATGTTTTTCTATCTCTCTTTTCCTATAGTTCCTTCTCTTTCTTTCTCAATCTCTATCTATTTATCTATCTATCTATCTCTATCTATCTATCTATCTATCTGTATCTCTCTTTCCCCTCTCTCTCTTTCTTTCTCTCTCCCTCTCCCCTTCTCTTTCTCCTTCTCCCCCTCTCTTTTTCTTTCTCTTCCTCTCTTTCCCCCTCTTCTCTTCTCTCTTTTTCCCTCGCCCCCCGTCTCTCTCTCCCCTTCTCTCTTTTTCCCTCGCCTCCCCCCCTCCCTTTCGTCCTTTCCTCCTCCCATCTATCTCTATATCTTCCCCTTTCCCTTTGAACCCTTTTCTCCCCTCTCTTTCCCTCTCAACCCCTTTCTCCCTTTCTCTCTCTCACTTTTTTCTCTTTCACTATCTTTCTCACTCTCACATTCACTCTATTGTTCTTTGTCTGTCTGTCTCTCTCTGTATATATGTGTTGGTATGTTAGATATAAAGAAGCCAAAAAAAAAGGATCCCGTTGCAATAAAATAAATAAATAAACAAACTTACAAAATAAAACAATAAAAAACGTAGACGGTTAACCTCCAAGATTTGCCAAGAAAATAGTACGGATATTGTTTCTATAAACCCTAATGAATCGAGACACAGAAATCCAACCGAGCCATAGTTGTGTAGTAAAAGACAAAGTAAGATCGTTACAAATGGGTAGTAATGGCAGGATATAATGGGTAAATAGGGTATTAGTAACGGAAACGAATGTGTAAAAGGAAGCTGTTGAAGAAATTGATAAATAAACGTAATTGTAGAACAGAGTGAATGACATGAAGGGTAGAGATGAATAAGTAAAAGTAATAGACGTGAATAGTTAATTGTAAATAAGAAGTAACACGTAAAAGGATAAAGAGAGAAAAGGCAGATGGAAAATATATGTTGAAAGCAAATATAGAAGTGAACAACGAAATTATAATTCACAAACAAATGCTAAAACTTGACTGAAAATTGGCCAGCTAAAGGAACTAAATTAGCCTATGAGAGGCATAGATGATGCTGGTAAATAACGAAAAAAAAACACAAATGAGGGCAAATAGTTGGGAGTAAAACCAACAAACCATAAACTGAAGAGAACGATCGACTGAAAGGAGAAAATTAACACGTAATAAAAATGCGTCCCAAAAAGGCTTAGTATAATCTGCAAATTCTATAGTAAGCATATATATATATATATGTATGTGTGTGTGTGTGCGTATGTATATATACATATATATGCATATATATCTATATATGTACATATATATATCTATATATATACATATATATGTATATATGTGTGTGTGTGTGCGTGTGTGTGTGTGTATATGTGTGTGTGCGTGTGTGTGTGTGTGTGTGTGTGTGTGTGTGTGTGTGTGTGTGTGTGTGTGTGTGTGTGTGTGTGTGTGTGTGTTTGTGTATACATATATATACATATATATCTACATTAACACATATATATCTATATATGTATATATGTGTGTGTGTATGTGTAGACGTGTATGTACGCGTATCTATATATATATATATATATATATATATATATATATATATATATATGATAAATGACTACTGACTTTTAATTCCGGGTGAAGATTATAGTTCTCTTATTTTCAAAGACTGATAAGTTGGCGAGTACACTGCTAGGCGTATGAGAGGATATGGAAAAACTATCCAAGAGAGAGAGAAAGAGTGAGTGTGTGTGGGGGGGGGGGGGCTAGTGTTACTTGATGCAGTTCATCTACACTGAGTTTTTAAATGAATTACAAATCTAATGATTATTGCACTACCATATGCTCAAAAATATATTGCAGATACGATGATAATTGTGAAAGTTTTAAGATACGAGTAATTCATGAACAGGAATATCATAGATTTTAGTTCCTTAGTAACACATACCTCTTAATTAGGCAACAACCACGTAACATTAGTGATTCATCATTATTTCCTTGTCAGTTTGAAAGATATTACATGATAAGTACTTTCTAATTATGATCATTAATCTAAGGCTGAAACGAGTTGTTTTGGGGGGTAAATAAATATAAATCACCTAAAGGAAGTTAAGGGAATACTCAATAGTAGTATTTAGGTTATAGATATCAGGGAGTAGATTTTTAACCTGACCCTACCTTTCTCGCATGCACATGCATCCTATTACAAATGAGTCAGGATGCCACTTTAACTGTTATAACAGCAATATTATATATTTTCTTTGGGAGGTCTGATTATAAGTTTTATTGTTAACGGAAGGAGGATATTGAGGACGAGAAATGAGAAAGGAATTTATAAATTAA